ATCCTCTTCTTTATCCAGGCATTCGGTCGGCAGTAGCCTCAAGGGGCTTCCTCTTTTCCCTTCGTCTTTTGAGGGGTTCCAAGTGACGGCTTACCTTGGAAGGCAGTGGGTGCTTTTCTTAGTGTGTGTCCTATCCACCTCCATCGCTTCTGAACTGCCTCTTCCGCTTTAGGAATCTGGTTTGTTCCTTTCCAACTGTAAGTTTTGATATAACAGTTGATTATGAAATTGTAAGAGAATGATGGGGAATGACTTTGTAGCTCCGGTGAATGATTGTAATGATGATGTTTTCATTCTCGAAGCTTGGATATTTTGGTTGTGTGAAGCTTTTTCATTGTCTTCTACATCAGACAACAACAAACAGTCATCACACAAACACTATTCCTCGGATAGAACAAGTGAAGCAGTTACGAATTTGCTCCACGTGTTTAGACCTGTAGCTTGGTTCTGTTAACTTTTGATCATTACCACATGCCTTAAAGTCAACAACAACCAATCAAGATCTAAGGTTAACAGAACAAGGCTACAACAGGTCAAACACTTGGACAAATTCGAATGCTTCACTTGTTCCATCTATCTAAAGTTTGTGCTGTTGATGATGATGATGTTGTTGTTTGTTGTTCAGTAGAAGAACAATGAAAAAAGCTACACACAACCAAAACAGCATCCAGCCAATTCAGAGAACCAAACACCACCACCACTACCAGCACCACGATTGTAAAGAAAAATAATTTGATGAAGTCATTTCAGTTAGTTAGTTATTTACTGCATACTTTTCTCTTCTATAACAGACCAATAAATCGTCAAGTGGTCAAATGCCTACACCTCCATGGACGATGACGATTAGCGATAATGAATCGGATGAATTGGATTCGGATCAGAGAAAATTAAAAAAGAACACCACTCCTAATGCGGACAACAATCTACGTCCATGTGTTGATAATTGGAAAATACAAACATTGTGCAATGCGAAACCATTAAATGAAGTAAAATTCAATATGAATATTTTTTTTATAATTGATTTTTTGGTTTTGTTTTTCGCATTGCATTGATGAATCGATGAGTATTTTCATGATTAGACAGACCAATGTAAGCACTGTTTGTCCCTACGTGTAAGAGGACTAACTCATCACTGGCAGTTTTCCCCCCGCGAAATGCAAAAAATGTTGCTTCAAGATTGGGTTGTATTCGGCACTTGAACTAGTGATACGGAGTGAAATAGTCGAACGTGTAGACCCGCTTCACTTATCTTGGGAGTCTCATCAGTGCTGATGGCTGATGTTTGTGATGAAATCTCAGCTCGAATACAGAAAGCTCGATTGGCTTTTGTCAACCTACGTCACTTATGGCGTAGGAGAGATATCCGTTTGCTAACCAAAGGATGAGTATACTGCGCAGTAGTTTCGCTCCATCTTACTTTATAACTGTGAAACATGGCCAATGAGAGTAGAAGATATTCTCAGGTTACTGGTTTGCGATCATAAGGTGCCTCCAAAGAATTGCTCGAGTATCATGGGACAACCGAGTAAGCAATGCTATCGTTAAGAAATGAGTTCTAGGTAGGGATGGCAGATCAATCGATGAAGTAATGAAACTTCATCAGTTGAGGTGGTTGGGACATGTGTTACGTATGCCTAACCACCGACTGCCTCGACGAGCTATGTTTTGTGGTGTAGGAGTAGGTTGGAAGAAAGTTAGGGGCGGCCAAACCAAAACATGACAGAAATCCATGAAGTCACTGACTAGTCGACTGAGTTATGTTGGTAGATGTAGACTACCTGGTTTGTGTCCGCGAGACGAAAGTCACCAATGGTTAGAGACCTTGAACGACATGGCTCAAAATCGTTTGCAATGGCGCAGGTGCATCCATTCGTTGTGTTCTCTCAAATCCTAATCTTCTGGATTCTTCAACACCTCTAGTCTTATCTCACTGAATCATACTTCTTGAATAATATCTTCAAACCCTAGTCTTCTTCATTACCATTAATACCCCTACTATCTCTATCACTATGGGATTTGATTTGACATTTGCGTCTCTGTGCTGATGTGGTATGGCAACATGAACTTATGTACATATGTGTCTAGTTCTACGTTGCATCTGACTGACTGTATATTTGTTAGTAATGTGTGTGTATAGTGAGGGGAGATATTCGTATGTTAACCAAAAAAGATGAGTGAACTATGCTATCATTCGCTTTGTCGTCTTACGTTATAGAGATATAAAATATGAGCATTAAGAATCGAGAACATTTCTAGGCTACTAGTATTCAATCACCGGTGTATCCTGTGACCACCGAGTTAGTAATGCTGGTGTTAACAAACAATGGGACTAGTTAAGGATGGCGAACCCCGTCGAAGCACTGAATATTCAGTAGTTGAGGTGGTTAAGATATCTATACATGTGTTACGTGTATGCCTAACCACCAACTGTCTTTAGGAGCGGTGTTTTGTGGTGTGGGGGAGTAGGTTGGAAGAAAGTAAGGGGCAGCCAAACCAAAACGTGGTTAGCGTTTAATTTAGCGAGTTAAATTTCTACGTGATAGGGTCACCAACCCTACTTCTTTATCCAGGCTTCGGGTCGGCAGTAGCCCCAACGGGGCTCCTCTTTCCCTTCGGCCTTGAGGGTTCCAAGGGAGGACTTACCTTTGGAAGCAGTTGGGTGCTTTTCTTAGTGTATGTCCTATCCACCTCCAACGCTTCTTCCTGACTGCCTCCTCCGCTTTAGGAATCTGGTTTGTTCTCTCCAACTGTAAGTTTTGATATAACAGTTGTTGTGAAATTGTAAAGAAATGATGGAGAAGATTTGTAGCTCCGGTGAATGATTGTGGTGATGATGTTTCATTCTCGAAGCTGGATGCTGTTTTGGTTGTGTGAAGCTTTTCCATTGTTCTTCCATTGAACAACAACAACATCATCATCAACAACACAAACTTCCGATAGAACAAGTGAAGCATTCGAATTTCTCCACAACAACAACCAATCAAGATCGAGGTTAGCAGAACAAGGCTATAGGTCAAACACGTGAACAAATTCGAATGCTTCACTTATTCTATCTATCTATCTAAAGTTTGTGCTGTTGATGATGATGATGATGATGTTGTTGTTCAATAGAAGAACAATGAAAAAGCTTCACACAACCAAAACAGCATCCAGCCAGCTCAGAGAACCAAACACCACCACTACAATTGTAAAGAAAAATAATTTGATGAAGTCATTTCAGTTAGTTAGTTATTTACTGCATACTTTTCTCTTCTATAACAGACCAATAAATCGTCAAGTGGTCAAATGCCTACACCTCCATGGACGATGACGATTAGCGATAATGAATCGGATGAATTGGATTCGGATCAGAGAAAATTAAAAAAGAACACCACTCCTAATGCGGACAACAATCTACGTCCATGTGTTGATAATTGGAAAATACAAACATTGTGCAATGCGAAACCATTAAATGAAGTAAAATTCAATATGAATATTTTTTTATAATTGATTTTTTTGGTTTTGTTTTTCGCATTGCATTGATGAATCGATGAGTATTTTCATGATTAGACAGACCAATGTAAGCACTGTTTTGTCCCTACGTGTAAGAGGACTAACTCATCACTGGCAGTTTTCCCCCCGCGAAATGCAAAAAATGTTGCTTCAAGATTGGGTTGCATCGGCACCTGTACTAGTGATACGGAGTGAAATAATCGAGCCTGTGGACCGCCTCACTTATCTTGGGAGTCTCATCAGTGCTGATGGCCTGGTGAATGATGAAATCTCAGCTCGGATACAGAAGGCTCGATTGGCTTTTGCCAACCTGCGTCACTTATGGCGTAGGCGAGATATCCGTTTGCTAACCAAAGGACGAGTGTACTGTGCAGCAGTTCGCTCCGTCCTACTGTACGGATGCGAGACTTGGCCGTTAAGAGTAGAGGACATTCGTAGGTTACTAGTCTTCGATCATCAGTGTCTCCGAAGCATTGCTCGTGTATCCTGGGACAACCGAGTAAGCAATGCTGTTGTTAAAAAACGAGTACTAGGTAGGGATGGCAAATCAATAGATGAAGTATTGAAACTTCACCAGTTGAGGTGGTTGGGACATGTGTTACGTATGCCTAACCACTGACTGCCTCGACGAGCTATGTTTTGCAGTGTAGGAGTAGATTGGAAGAAAGCTAGGGGCGGCCAAACCAAAACATGGCAGAAATCCATGAAATCACTGACAAGTGGACTGATCCATATCGGTAGTTGTTGACTACCTGATTGGGGTCCGCGAGACGATAGTCACCGATGGTTAGAGACCTTGAACGACATGTCTCAAAGTCGTTTCTAATGGCAAAGATGCATTCATTCTTTGTGCTCTCTCAAATTCTAACCTTCTAAATTCCTTATCATTGCTATCTTACTCTGTCTAAATTTATCTCGCTGAACTATACCTCTTGAAAAATATCTTCGGACCTTAATTTCCCCGATTACTGCTAATACTTTTACTACCTCTACTACTATAGGATTTGAATTGACAATTGCATGTCTGTGCTAATGTGGTATGGCAACTTGAACTGCTGTACTTACGTACGAAGTTCTACGTTGTAACTGACTGACTGACTATTTGACTAGCTTTATCGATAAACAGTTTAAATAACTCGATTGGATTCGAGCTGGCAATTGCGTCTCTGTGTTGATGCGGTATAGTGAAATGAACTGATATATATTCATGTTTCGAACTTCTACATTATGACTGATTGACTATATTGTCTGTCTGCTGGGATAGTTCCTCCTAAATTTGTTATGGTCATAACAAGCATTTTAATCTTCCAAAGTTGATGTCCTATGAATGTGAATAGACGAAAGAATATTTACTAAACTTCAGTTTTGAATGAAATTGCTTGATAATGGCTCTTTCTACCACATCAATATGATTGGGCCTTACATTTTCAAGTACGCTTTGTTCATACGTGTACTACAAATCTGACTGTTCATTGTGAAGTAGATTCATAATAAAATACAACGATAGAGCATCGACTCTGTAGCAGTGTAGGAGTAGGTTGGAAGAAAGCTAGGGGCGGCCTAACCGAAACATGGTGTAGTGTGTCGATTTATTGCGTGTTCTTAATCTTCGTGATTAGCTAGTCCAGACAATCGTCACTAACTAGCGTCTGACGGTTTATAAATCAGAAGGTGAACTCGTAGTGATGAATACGTTTATTTTGGCACACACCACAAAGCGAAGCGGAGAAAAAACGAATAAAACGAAAGAAGCGACGTGAATTGGAGAAGGCTGTTGAGCCAACTCCCAGGATTACATTGCGAACGAATAGGCGAAGGAAGCGAATGAACAGGCGAAGCGCATTGGAAAAGACCAACTCAAAGAGATAGAGCGTGACTAAGAATATATAGTCAGACAAATATAAGACAGACATTCTTCGACAAGCGAAATAGGCACACATGAATAAAAGCGACGAATAATTGACAAGGTCAAATGACAAGTGGGACACGACGTCATGTGAGCTCCTCATACAAACCAGACAATAATAAGAATGAATGGTACATATAAATTGTTGCAATACAAATGGCTTGGTTAAATAAATTAATCGAAAGGGTCTAAGCGAACTGGAATATATATGGAGGCACTACAATGGCACAAATCCATGGATTCACTGACAAGTGAACTGAATCATGTAGGTAGATATAGGATTCCTGGTTAGGGTCCGCGAGACGACTGTCACCAATGGTTAGAGACCTTGAGCGACATGGCTCAAAATCGTTTGCAATGGCGCAAGTGCATCCACTGTTTGTGTTCTCTCTAATTCTAACCTTCTGAATTCTTCATAATCTCTGCCTTTCTCCTTCTAAATTTATCTCACTGAATTATACTTCTCGAATCATATCTTCACTCCTCACTGCTAATAATTCTACTATCACTATCACTCTTGGATTTGAACTGACAGTTGCGTCTCTGTGCTGATGAGGCATGGCAACCTGAACTGATGTACTTACGTACGAAGTTCTGCGTGGTATCTGTCTGTCTGTCTTTTCTAATTCTCAACCACAATCATAGTGTTGTGCACGAAAACCCAGATGAGGACACCAACATTTATATTAAAGCAAATATTACAGAGTTGTTAAGCGTATGTACAAAACTTTCCCGTGAAATCATCATTTGCAAACTAATCCTTATTTTTAAAGATTCCCATTGTGAAAATTAGAACAACACATATAAGCGAACAATATTGTTTTCGATTAGATCGTCATCAGGCTTTACTCTAATATACATTGTCATATAAATATTCATGTATATTAGAGTAAAGCCTGATGACGATCTAATCGAAAACAATATTGTTCGCTTATATGTGTTGTTCTAATCCTTATTTGTTTCGGAAATTTCAGTGTTCTTTCACACTTAGACTGTTCAGACTTCAGTTCACTTTATGTTACCTACAAATCGCGCCTTCTATTCTCTCATTCTTTCCTTCTCGATCTTGTATGCTGTCAGACGTTTGATTTCCCTTTTTGATATCATATACTACTTAAGTGAACATAAGTAGCGTTGTGGTAAACATGATGAAATTTGCTTCTTTTTTTTATTGCAAAATGTGTTTATTTTATTTTGTGTATAATGCTATAACACAATGTCTTTTGTCTTATTCTATTCTTTTCATTTTCCTTATTAGACTAATAAAGGTCATTGTTTATTACAAAAACTTGGTTGGAAACCTGGTGATAAATTAGGCCGAAATAATCAAGGTCTAATCACACCGATTCATTGTATTAAAAACTAATCATTGATCATCATTTATATGAGAATAATGCCATTGCCTTACTTATTAGATGAGATGATGATACATGTGATGATCGATATTCATGCTAGTTACTTATACATGCGACAACATGTCCATCTGTTGTCTCAGATATGATAACGGTGTACTACTATAACATGATCGATTGGTCGATTGGTTAGTTGGTTGATTGGTTAGTGAAAATACCAAGAACAGATCACCATGATTTATCGATGTAAACATTGTTTTTTTTGCATTGTACTAATGTTTTCTTCCAACTTTACATTAACAAACAAAAACATTAATCTGTGATGTATGTTTGGTTTGATTTACTCTCTCTCTTGTTTTGTTTTGTTTTTTTGCGAAAAAGAAAACCGGTAAATTCAAATTTACAATGATGCATAAATTCGATTGTACAAAAATGATTTTTGTTTTAATGATGATGATGATGATGATGATATTTTATTGTTTTAATCAATGCACAAAATTTTCTCTAAACACTGACTATAGGATACCACTATAACTGATTCGAATGTGTTCTCTAACGCATAAACAACTCAAGATCATATGAAATATATGTATATATATAGATTTACAGAAGACTGTTTATTGACAAACTATATGGTGTGCATAATTCTGGAGCATCCTGTTGTGTGCAGTCGCGATTGATTGTCCTCCTCAATCATATTTATCTATCTATTCTTATCTTTGAAATACTCTAATCATCCTATGCATTTCAGTCTTGTGATACTCCTCTCTCTCTGATAGCAACTTTTAGGTGAGACTCTCCATGACATACTACTTGTAAACCCTTTTTGTGATGACCATCTACCTTACTTACTTACTTACGCCTGTCACCCGACAATGAAGTATTGACCGCCCATCAGTTTTCTCCAACCAACTCTGTCTATCCTGGACTTCCCTATCCAGTTCTGTCCAATTTTTATTCATTCCTCTCATATCTTTCTCTATTTCTCGGCGTAATGTGTTTGTTCTTTGGCCTTCATTCTTTTCCTTTCACCTTGAGGGTTCCATGTGAGGAGGGCTTGTCTTGTGATGCAGTTCGGTGGTTTTCGTAGTGATGACCATCTACCTACCACACAGTAGTGAATCAGTCATATTACATTTACTGAAAAATTGTAAATTTCTATTTTATTATTATTATTTTGTAATATTATTCTGTTTATATCAAAAAGAATTTTTCTTTTACATTAATTAATTAGATGATAATTTGGCGTTTGTTGTTTTTGTTTGTTTCTGTTAGGAGGGAAAAAAAAGAATCTATGACATCATTATTACTGATAGTAGTTGTCAATTATAAATTATGATTGAATCATTGTTAGATAGATCACTATTAAAACGAAAACCTGGAAGCATTAGATGTCCGTTTTGTCCTTAGTATGTGACTTGTCAACAGTGCACATCCATGACTCTCGTTCGCATGAACCGAATCCAGGACCTTCGGTCTCGCGCGCAAACACTTAACCATTGACCCCGTCATCCAACGCGGCGTTAGTATCTGTCTTTCATCAATCTAATGATTTCACGCAACCTCAATCTTCGACAGCAATTGCGTACACACGACGGACAGATACAACGTGGAACTTCTTACGTAAGTAAATAAGTTCAGGTTGCCATACCGCATTAGCACAGAGATAGTAGAAGTATTAACAGTGATAGGGAAGATTAGGGTTC